AGACTAATTATTAATCGCTATAAGTATGAAGCTCACTCACTTCTCCCTCCATGCCCAGTGCCACCACATTCTTAGAGATGAACGCAGCCTTCCCTGTGACCTCTCTCTCTCCTATCTCCCTTCAGTCTCCCTTGGCCTTATAAAGTTTCCCTTTCGTGTGCCCTGTTCCCATGCTGTTGGGAAGACCCGGCGTAGAATAACGTCCACCTCTTGTGCAGCTTTGAGTCGTTATCTGTGGAGCAGTGACGTTCTGATTGTGGGATGCCACCTGGTGCTTGTCGTTGATCACTGCACCCTTCCAAAGACTCACTAGGAAGGTAGGCCCAGCAGCTGAGTCATCCCAGGGCAGGTGTATCCTGCCCTTCTGGGTGGCATTTCACTAGAAGCTCCAGCCAAAACCTTTAGGTCCATTTCATCACTGGGAGAGAAACCCTGGAGAACTTAGAGAAGGAGGAAATTCTTCTCTTTTTTAACTCCTTTAGCATCATGGCTGAAGAATAAAGGGCCTGCAAAATCCACAAGTTCATACCCCCTCCTGCTGTTTATGTCATCATAACTCTAAGCATCATCTTGGCAACTATGCTAACATTTTACGGGTGTGGACTCCTATTTCTTGTTTGCCTGCAATGCTCCTACGTGGGACACTCAACTTTTCATTGTATAAATGTGGGGTAGCTTTTTTTGAATTAAACTCGGTGTAATGGAGAAAAGAGCCTCATGCCTAATAGAGGTACGATACCATTTCAGAAACTAAGAACAGGTTTTAAAGCAAGTCATAAGCATCAAACTGGGGTTTGCTTCTTTTGATGTTCATGACAGTTTCATCTCTGGGAGTAGTAGGTTAATCAGTGAGAGCAGAAGGCCATTAAACTTGATGATTTAGTTTCGTGGCAATTTTGTCACTGAAAAGCTGACACTGCTAAGGCCCTGGGCAAGAAGAAGCAAACTTGTGACCAAGACAGGCCTACTGGCCCCAGTGAGATGAGCTAAGGCTAGAGCACCTCTTCCACAACATTTTCCATCTGTGGAATAGTAGGCCTCTATTGGGTCAGAGTACTCAGGGAAGGTGTGATTACAGCACTCACTAGCATACCCATGCTAGCATTATCTAGCTAGCATGAGTAACTAACAGTGAAGATGTCACAGCATGGGGTTGAGCAAGAATGAGCAACTTGAATACAAACTTTGCAGAGCCTATGTATGGGTACATACTATGGTTGCTAGTGTGGGATAAACACTCTGCTACTGTGTCTTCCATGCAATGGCAAAGATGTTTGCTTCTCTATTGGCGGGATGAAATCGTACAAGTCTCTCACACAAAGTTCTCCCAATGTCCTTTCCCAGCTCTTCACAGACCTGCCTGCTAGCCCAGTTCTGCTCTCCCATATAGTTCTTCCAAAGTATCCTCATCCTCAGCATGGCTTTCCTGTGCACTGAGTGCCCATCTTGTGGGCAGATGGCCAATAGGAATGACTACAAAGCTACAAAACTGAACTGGAAGTCAAGTTGCTAAGGGTGGAAGCTTCCTACTGTATATTGGTCCATTTTGCCACCTGGATTACTTGATGCAGTTGGTTTATTGCGTTAAGCTAAAGATGAATTTAGCCATCCCCTCCTACTGCCTGCTTCAGCAGAGACTTCATGCAAACATCGTAGGAGGGGCTTCCGTCTTGACCTGTTCCCTTGCTGCTGTTCTGTCTGTTATGCATCTCCTGGTCCTTTAGCAATGCAGGCTCAGAAATGCCAAAGCAGAAACTAAAACTTCTCTGTTAAACTGGATGGATGCTCCCTTTCAATTAGAAGAGGCAATGAGCAAGGATACTTTGCACCTACTTTCCTTCCCCAGTCCAGAAGTCAGAAGGACTACTCTTACAGTGCTCCTGGACTCCCAGTTTCCATAACCCTGGTATAAGGTTTCCATGACCCCCATTTACACCAGGATACTCATGTGGTAAGTGTGTGATGCCACCAGTCTGGGTTGGCACTTACCTTCCACCGTTGCTGTTCTACTTGTCTGCCCACTGACATGAATACAGGGAAGCAGAACTCCTCAGGAACCCCTGAAAATGGCCTGGCCTTTCCTCCCAGGGAAACAGAACATGATTGCTCAATGGGTCATAAGCTACTCTGTTACGTCACTGCAAAACTAGACTGATGCCATTGCTTTAAATGGAACTCCTCCTGATTTACACCACAGCCCACTCGTACAAGTGGGAGTGGGGAATAAGATAGCAGTGACTCCATCTCGTCTCCCTTGTGTTCCTTTCTTATTGGCTCGGGAGAGCCTTCTGCCCAGCCTCTAAGATTGCTCTGTTATTAGTCCAGCAGGTTACGTGTCTCTTATTAAACCAGCTCTGTACAGTACTTTGAGACAACTCTGTAGCCAGGAGCTGTACCTTCCCCAGTCTGTCTGGGACACATTCCTAGTGCCAGACAGGACACCTGGGCATTGTAGAATACATCACCCAGACAACGTAGGCCTGGTTTTCATCATTTGTGGAACGATTCTTGAGGGCTTCTATCAGCTCCAATAGTGTCCGCCAAGGAAAGGGGGGAGGATGCAGTACTGTTTTGAGAGCCTAATGGAACAAGGCTTGCAGAGAGCAAACATCAATCACAAGCTAGTGCAGCCCTTTGACTGGTGCCTCAAAAAAGGATCCTAAGGAAATGGACCTTCTCCCATGCCCAAACACACCTCCTAGTCCCAGCTGCCCTTCCCTCATAACCCACATATTCTCTCAGAATTATGCAGCAATAAATACATCTTGCATTGGTATCACTATGACATGCCTAGGGCTAGGAGGGGCCTACCTACCCACCCCTGCACACACACCTATGGGCACTGAGTCATTCTGTAGCCCTGGGTTGTCCTCTGCATTGTGAGAATAACAGATGTGCACCACTCCAACCAACCTCTCTTTCTAATAGAAAGAGCAGTTCCATCACCCTCAACACACAACACATAGCAGGAGCAGGGAGCAGAGAGAGCCAAGGGCAGGAGTCAAGAGGATGGGATAGGGATCTATCTGTTCTTCATTCAAACAGCCATTGTGTTCTGCTGCACTGGTCCAAAAAGCCACCAACCCGCAGGGAGCGGGGGCTATTACTGATGTGTCCTCTGTAGAAGGGAATCTCAGGTCATGAATAAAGCAACAGTTCTGACAATACCCAACTCACATGCATTACTCTTGACATCCCTTATTTGCACCCACTCTGAAGCTTTTCCGTGAGCCCCTTGAATACAGCATGAGACTGAATTTTCCCCCCCAAGGCAAGCTGACCACTTCTTTGAGGTGCTGACTCTCCTCAATCACTTCACCACCAATCAGGACTGTCCTTCCCTCTGCCTTGGCCTGCATTTCCCACGGGCTTCTCTGGTCTTTGGTAGGTCCCTAGTCATGACCTGCCTCCCCAGGACCTTTGGCTTTTGCCCTGTGGATTGGAGTCTCAGTTCCATTGTTGAACCAGTACCCACACCTTCCCCTGAAAAGTCTGGCTGGAAACACAGGGCAGACTGATCAATGTGGGACAGGGAGAGCAGAAGGGGCAGCATTGTATATAGCTCCTGGTTTGCCCCCACTTGGTAAAAATGCCTTAGAAACAAGAAACAAAAGGAGGGACTGAGCCTTCGTCACTGAAACTGCTCCAGAGAAAGGGGCATCTGGAGAATCTGAAGCCTGTCCAGCTGAAACAAATGGAGCCAGCATGACAGCAGATTGGAAGACAAGATGGAAAAATCCCATAACTACGTATCTCCAAGGGGCTGGCTATTTGTCCCTGCTGTGGCTTTAATTGTAGGCTACCATTTACCTTCCCCAAATCTATGCGTCACATAACAGACAAGATGCAAAGGCTAACCATCATAGTTTCATAGTTTCTAGGGTCGGAAGGGACCTGAGCAGATCATCTAGTCTGACCCCCTGCCATGGCAGGAAGAGCACTGGAGTCAAACGACCCCAGTAAGGTGGTCATCCAACCTCCTCTTAAAAACCCCCAGGGTGGGAGCCTGCACCACCTCAC